TGTGAGGAGGAAGCTGCTTGGGGGTATAGAATATGTGTAATCTGGCCAGCTTCCTGGTTCCAATCTTGACTTTCTTGGTATTCCTTCTGTTCTCAGATGGCTGTTACAGTCTTGGGTGGTCCTTTTCAAGGCTGGGTCCTATATGTTCATCTCACCAGTGGGTTGTCCTTTCCAGGTCAGTTGCCGATTTTAGTCACACCTAATAGGTGGTCCTTCAGTGAGAAGTTTGCAAATATGTGTTAGAGTGGCTACAGGCTATGGTCTGGCTACTCCAAGGATTCCTGTCTCCCAACAGAAAGGCCAAATATCTGGTAACTGTTCAGTCCAGGAGGTTGGATGTCTCAGCCTGTCTTTGGTCTGTGCTGAAATCCTAAAGAAGTAGGCTCTAAGACCAGCAAAGGAATGCCTTAGCAATAGGATAGACAAGCTTGTAGTGAGAATGAGGGCAAGCAGGCAAAACCCAAAAAGATTCCATTTTACATTTCCTTTTATGTAGGCTGTTACCAGGTGTGGCCCAGATTTGGGATGGGTCTTCCTGCCTCAAATGATCTAATCAAGAAAAATCCCCACAGGTGTGCCCAGAAGCCTGGGTTTTCGTTGGTTCTGATATAGTCAAGCTGACAACACTAGACCATTGATGTATGAATTACATTTACTGACTTAGTTAAGTTGAACATCTCTGTATGTCTGGAATGAAACCATTATGGTCCTTTGGATGTGTTCTTGAATTAGATTTGCAAGTATTGAGAATCTTTGAACCTACGTCAATATGGGGAGATCAGCCTATTCTATTTCCTGGGTAACGGCATTAAGGGCTTCATAAGAAAAATATGGAAGTGCTCCTATTTATCAAATAACCTGAGAAATACTGTGATCTTTTTTTAAAAGTGTGGTTGAATTTTCCACTCAGCTCTCAAATGACCTACATGGAGCAGGGAAGGAAACCCAAAGTGATTGTGTATTATTGACATGGGCATGGCCATATCAAGGACATCACCAATGACTCTGACCTACGGGAATGGTAAAGCCTTCCCCAGATGAGACTCACAGGCATAGCAAAGCCTTCCTCTGGTCCAAGAGCAAATGGTGACTGTGTGCATAAATTGTCAACCACAGCTTCCTCCTCCAGGATGCCAGCAACCTGAGACTGCTCCTCTACACCTTCCTTAGCTGTTTACCATAACCCCACCCCTTCCTCCACTGTTTACCATAACACCACCCCCTCTTCAGCTGTTTACCATAACCCCACCCCTTCCTCCACTGTTTACCATAACCCCACCCCCTCTTCAGCTGTTTACCATAACCCCATCTCCTCATCAGCTGTTTACCATAACCCCACCTCCTTGATTCAGATGTATAAATAATGCTGTGTTTCGGGATTGCTGCAGCAGTTGGTGAGTGAGCACAGCACATACCCCATCCCAGGTTTTCTGTGTGTCTGTCCTTTCTTCTTTCCCCTGTTGGGCCAGTTAGGTCAAGTACTAGACATCTTTTATTTGGCAGATATTTTACTTTTTACTGCTTGTTACAGATGTTTTAATGGTATGCATCATCTTTATTAGCTTTGGTAGATCATAGTCATCCAGGAATTCATGTTTCTTTTTGGTTTTCTAGTTTAGTTGGTGGAATATAAAATGTTGAGGTATATCTTTACAAGTCTCTGAGTTTCCTTAATGTTTCCCTGTTCATCTGATTTTATTATTTGGGTCTTTCTTATGGTTAATTTGTCAATCTTGTTTCTCTAAGAACCAATTATTTGCTGTGTTGAACCATTGTAGTATTTTCATTCCTATTTCATTAATTTACACCTTTGTCTTCATTTTCTCCACCTCTACGGTTCTGAGAACATGTTCTTGCTTTTTCGGTGCCTTAAGGGGCATTATCAGGGTTTTGGTTTTTGTTGTTTTTTTTTTCCAAGTCAGGGTTTCTCTGTGTAGCCCTGGCTGTCCCTGAACTCACTCTGTAAACCAGGCTGGCCTTGAACTCAAAGATATCTGCCTCTTTGGCTTCCAAGAGCTGGATTTATAGGTGTGTGCACCACCTGGCAAGATTTTTTTTTAAATGTAGGTACTTAGAGGTATAAACATCCCCCTGGGACTACCTTCATTACATCCCACAGATCTTCATACACTGTGTTCTCTATTTCATTCATCTCTAGGGATTTTATTTAATTCTTTCAATGACCTATTCATCATTTAATAGTATGTTGTTCAATCTCCATGAGTTTGTAATATTCTATTTTCTCTTGCTTTTCTTTTTTTTTATAGCTTTACCCCACTCTGGTCTGATAGGATGCAGAACATTGATTTTCCTACATTTTTTTGAGATTTGCTTTGTGTCCTAGCACATGATCTATCTTAGAGACGGTTCCGTGTGCTGGTGAGAAGGTAGATTACTTGGTGGCTGAGTGGAATATCTGTAGATGTCTGCTAAGTCCATGATATAATTTGATTCCAATGTTTCTATATTCCTTTTTTTCCAGTTATCTAATGATTACAGGGAGGTCTCATATTACTGTGTGAAGATTAATCTGTGACTTTAAATTTCACAGCACTGGTTTTATGGTACCAGAAGAGCCTGTGTATGGCATGCATCTAGAATTGTAGCTTCCTCTTCGTGGACCACTTCTTAAATCAGTATGAAGTCACTATCTTCTGACAAGTCTATTTGTCAGAAATTAGAACCACAGTGCCACCTATCTCCTGATTCTTTGCATGGAATATCTTTTCCATCCCTTTATCCTATGATAGCATTTATCTTTGATGGTGAGATGTGTTTCTTGAAAGCAGAATTAAAAAAAAAAAAAAAACTGTTTTAACCTGTTTTCTAATCCAATATGCTAGGTCCTTATCTTTTGATGAGGAAATTGAAATTTAATACTCAGTTATTACTGATTCCTATCATTGTGTTTGGTGATTGGTAGCATTTGAGTATTTCTTAGTTCTTCTCTGCTGAGCATCATTATTTTACTCCTCTTGGGTATATTTATCTTTGACTTCAGTCTTGCATATTCCTTCCAGTATCTTCTGTAGGGCTGACTTGGTAGTCATGGATTCCTTTAGCCAGCTTTTACCAGGGTAACTTTCACTTTATTTACAAGTTTTCTGAGTATTTTAGAGGTGCTGTTTCCAGTTGTGATCTTTCAGAATCTGAGATATATCATTCCTCTAAATATTTGGTTATTTTAAATGAGTCTAGTGAGTAGTCTGTAATTATTTAGTAGTATCACTACTAAATTTAGTAGTACTCCTTGTCCCCGAATGTAGTTACAGACATTCTAAGGGGCTTATTTCCCAGTCAACTTTTACTAGGTGGAGTAGGAGCCCTAGCTTCATGCAGTTTCCCCCATTTAGTGATCTGAAACTCACCCTCTGCACAGGAGGCCCCTCCAGCCTGCTTGCACCCTTCAATGTACTCCTGTGGTAGAATTATTTAAGTGTACCCAATAAACTGAATTTAAGGCTCATGGGATTTCACACTCGCCAGTGTGACCTCAGGCTTGTTTCTCTAGGCTGACCCCAACCAAAACCCATGGTTAGTGACCCTGTGTCCATTCCAAGTAATATCTCTTATTCATCTAGGACAACTTCTTCAAATAAGGAGCCTTCTACGACTCCAATAGCACCTGCACTTTCCTCCAACAGGACTCATAACCCAGTGAATTAAACCATTGTCATGGCTAGAAACACACTTCAGGGGTAAAATGAATACTCAGCACACAAACATCTCTGGGTTAAATTCCCAGGACCATCGAAAACTAAACAAACAAAAAAGAAAGAAAAACCATATACATAATCCATAGATTTGAGGAAGACCTCAGTCTTTAACTGTATACTGTCAGTATCCCATAAGGCTCCAATGGATAACTTCTGATCCAGTCACACAAAAAGCCATGGTTAATTTTTATGAATCGCCAAACAAAACAAATAGATACAAACTTGAGAAATTCGTGAGGACAGGGAGGAGAGGATGCATGAAGATGGCATGACCAGTATGCATGTCATGCATATGTGAAATTGCAAATACCATAATAAAAATAAAACAATGGCTACAGGTGTCACCCAGTGATAGTGACTCTACCATGTGCCAGACCTTGGATTCCATAAGGGAAAGGAGGAAGGGAGGGAAGGAGAGAAAAAAACAGAGGGAACCACATGTATATCTCCCAAACAGGCCCCAAGACCCCAAGTCTTGAAGTTTCGACCCTGCTGCACCTAGAGACCCTGGCATCTAGTTCCAAAGATGGACTCTGAGAAGGGGATACATTTGTAGAATTTATAGAAAGAGCCACAGCTCCCAGCATCTTAGCAGGTGCAAATTCAACGAGGGTGAAGAATGGAGAAGCCAGAGAAGAGCAGGGAGCCCCTGCCTGCAGCTCGGGGGAAAATCTGTTGTGTGATGCAACCTCTATGGATTTGTTTTTCCTCCTCATTCTCCTTCCCTCACCACCCCAGCTACTCCTCCCCCAGCTTCACAGTAAGAAAGGAGAGCGATGCTCTTTCCCAAGCATGTCTTTATTCCTCTGCTCTTTGGTTTCCTACTTTGGTTCACACATGTGTGCTACATCTCACCGAGTCTACATTTCCCGGTGTGGTTATTAACCTGCTGTTATTGCTGAAATCTCTACTTCTAAGAGCACAACAGGGAGCATCTCTGAGTATATGGATGAAGACAACAGAGTGATAGGAGTGACAGTGCACAGCTCCAGTGGCTAACTAGAGACAAGACCAATAAAGCTAGAGAAACCAGAGAAAGATCCAGCAAGGTCAGCAGAGCTGGGTAACAGGGTAACAGAGCACACCTATATCCCCTCCATCTCAGGAATGCTAATTCTTGGTCCTGGCCAATTCTGAAATAACAGAGACCAAAACCAGCAGTGCTATTCTTTGGTCCCAACTGCTACATAAATGTGGTTCAGCTACATGAGTGCGGATCATCTGGAGCCCCCAGAGTTCCCAGATAACCTCCCCCAGCAAGACTTGAGCAGGTTTGGCCTCATTCTAAAATGTCTTGCCCTCAAAGGCCTTCAGGTTGAAGGCAGTATCCAGAAACTTTCTCAGCGACACCAAGTGGGCATTCTTGTTTCCAGTGGCTGGTGCAGCTGCTGGGTCCCGGCCAACATACCTGGAGGAAGAGAGTCAGCTAAAGGAAGGACCAGGTCTAGCTGCACACTCAGTCCAGAACTTGAGGGTGAAACACAGGAGGAAGACTGCCTGCCTGGGCAGTCCTCTCAGTGAGCTGTGGACCTACAACAAATTGAGCTGTCCAGACACAGGACAGGGAGAAGATGCCCACCCCGTGGCCATGGAGACAACAATCATGCCACACCCCAGAAACTTTGGGAGCAAACACACTTGTGGCTTTACCACATTTCTCATCCTTGGTCCCATCTTTGTCACAAAAACAAAGATGCCCACACTGAGCATTGGGGGCTGACACCTGCTAGGCACCTCTAGAGGCTGGCCTGCACACACAGCCTATCCAATCATTCTCTGGCAGAGGAGAGGCAGTACCAAAGCTAGGGGCTAAGATTAAAGGGAGGAGATTTGAGTCATACAAGTCATGCATATCCCCCCAACTGTGATAAGGAAGCTAACCTGTAGACAGATGGCTCAGAGCCTATAGGGACTCTAATGTTTGCCAGAGAAGGGCAGAGGCTAGCTCTGAATGGCCCTGCTAACAAGGCAGGAAAAGGCAATATGGGACTGTCAGGCTTAAAAGAGCCAAAGGCAGGTTAGCAGAGGTGGGAGGTAGATAGAGAACTCTCCAGCCCAGTACCATATGGGCCGGGAGCGGCCAAGGAGAGTCATGAAGCGTGGACTGATGTAGTCGTAGTAGCCCATATTCTTATGTTCTTCCTGACACCACACCAGCTCGGCACCCGAGTACTTCTCTGCCTCCCGCATGATCAGGTCAAAAGGGAATGGCGAGATCTGGGGAGGTAGACATACAAAGAGTACAGTAGAGGGACAACATGTGCAGGGCCTGCGCCATACCTCGCCACCCACACACTGCCAAGAGCCAAGGCTGGTGAGTTGAATTTGTCTGTCACAACTAGTGTTCAAGGAACTTAGCAAACCTGCTCCAGGCGTGTGATGGCCACCTGCTCCTCCAAGCCCTGGCTGCTGCGCTCCTTTACCAGGTCATAGTACACCTTCCCAGTGCAGAAGATAAGCCGCCGTACCTGCCCAGGAGACCGTGCCGCGGGGCCATCCTCTGGAATCATCCGCTGGAAGCTAGTTCCTAAGGGATGGACCGGGTACCTCAGGGGTATCAGCATCATAAGGGCAATGGGACGAGGAGCACCCCAAGCAGCCCTGGGCTCTTCTTGGCTCCTGAACTGATGGAGGCTTTACATGAGACATTTACTTTGATCCCAACGATGGAATAAAGGACAGAAGAGATCCTAAATTGTTGAAGGGACAGACTAGAGATAGATCTGTGGACGGGAGCAGAGCCTTAGAAACACAAACATTCAAAGTGTGGAATATAGGAAGGGGAGGGCCCGGAGGACAGAAAAGGTAACAGGGTGGACCCATGATAGCACTATCCTGCCCCAGATCTGTCCCCTCCGGTTGTGCCCACATTACACATGGCACTCAGCCTCCATGTGCCAACGTGAGAAGCTGTTGGGAGGGGACATTCCTTCTCCCTTGGCCCTGTAACAGAGTCTCCATCTTCCAGCTTTAGCCATTTCTTCTTCCTGAAGTCAAGCATGCTGCAAAACTTCTCATGAAGCTACTATGATGTTCCTATATCGCCACATCTCAAGTGAAGACACTGAGGTGCAGAGGGCAACTGCTGCCAGTGGGAGGGCAGAGCTGCCAGTCCACCAGGGCTCCACTGATGGCCCACTACAGCCACCTTTCCACAGTGGACACACACAGACCAAAAAACAACAGTAAACCCCACAACTATCTATGCTGCCTGGGCCCTGACTGTCTAAACCCTGTCCCTACTACTACTCATGACTCAGCCAAGACAGAGCTGCTCTACTGGCCACAGGGCTTCACTGTGACTCTGTAATTCCCTACCAAGTCACACTTCAAGTCTTCATGTGCTGTACCTGGCCCCTGATTCCCAGACTGATGAAGCCGGGTGCTTTGGGAGAGAGCAATCAAGTTCTCAGTGATGAGTGAAAATATACAGTGAGTGATACTCAATACTCAGCAAATCAGACACCATTTTACCAGTGTCACCTCCTGGCAGCACTTACTGATGGCTAAGAGAGCCCACCCACTCCTCGGACACTGGAGTTTATTCCAAGTGACCTGATCTAGTCAAGGTGTCAATCTCCAATGCTGTGGTAAATGAGGACCAAGACAGGAGCTGCTGAAGGGCCAATGAAGACAGAGCTGGGAAGATAGTGGAGTTCCAGGGGCAGAAACCACACATCAGCCACTAGGCCTCACACAGATCACCACCCAATGAAGGCGGCCCAAGAGGTCCAGATAAGGCTCATACCGGACACCATCTGGTCAAAGCTGGACTTGGCATCAGGGTGCCTCAGCAGAGACTTGGGTGTGAAGACAATGAGCTGGAAGGTAAAAAGCCAGCTGCTAGCAGCCCCTACCCATCTGTGGCTCCCCACATCCAACCCTTGCACTGCCATGATGCTAATATAATAGGCTAGGGGCAGCTCACTGGCTTGCGGAAGGGCAGCAGGATCTGTCGGCGCAGTACATGGAAGTAGCTAGCTGGTGTAGAGCAGTTCACCACAATCCAATTGCAGTCATAGAGTTGGCTCACCTCAAAGTCCTCGGTGAACACCTGCAATGGATACTGGCAGCTAGGAGTGGCACTCTACACTACTATCTACTCCCCACCTGGGGACAGCAGCAGCACTCACTGGGTAGGCATCCGAGTCATCATTGCTCATCTGCAGGAACCTCTCTGGCCTTGCTGAAGAGTGCTCTGGGCCCTGAAAGTACACGTGATCCAGACTGAGTGCAGAGACCTCAGGCTTTGGGTGCCTAGATGGCTTCAAGGGGCGGATTAACTTTGGCTGTGCCTGTTCCCACCCTGCCCACAAGTCTAGTTCACAAGTTTCAGGGGCCCAGAAAGTTCTTCAAGGGACCAAGGGGTGACTCTGCCCCCCCCCCAGGCTAGGCCTGCAAGGGTCTCCAGCCCTCACCATGCCCTCCATGCCATGAGGCAGCAGGAGCACGATGCCATTGTGTCGAACCCACTTGGCCTGGCCAGTACTGATGAACTGGTCGATGATACACTGGGCTGTGTTGTGGAAATCACCAAACTGAGCTTCCCAGAGGACCAGGGCATTGGGGCTGGCCATGGCATAGCCCAGCTCAAAGCCTAGGCAAAGGACAACAAGACAGAGCTCAGTGTCACCAAGTAGCAGTGGATCCAGTTAAACCCAGCCTTTCCTCAGTATATGCTACCAGTCCTTCCCAACAGGCCAGAGTGAGCCTGGATGTGGAAGCATGCTTGTCTTTTTTGTTTTTGTTTTTTTGAAACAGGGTTTGTCTGTGTAATAGCCCTGACTGTCCTGAACTCAAAAAAGATCCTCTGCCTCTACTTCACAAGTGCTGGAATTAAAGGTGTGCACCTCTATGCATACCAAGAGCCACATCTAAAGACAACTTGGGGACACCATCACTAAAAAGACCCCTAAAGTATGTACAAAGCTCCTGAGAAAAGGCAGGTGCAAGCCCAGAGGCAATGCATTGCATGTGGGACTGAACCCCAGGAAGAGGAAGTAATAGGGGAAGTTTGCTGACTTCAGGTAAACTGAGGGGAAGCACGTCCCCGTGGGATCACAGGACAGAGAAACGAAGATGGGCTTAAGACCGTGTAAGGTCAGCCCCAGGCTTAGCGCCTGGCAGTCAGTAACTATGTACTGCGATGGACTCTACTGAACTTCTTGTCTGGACTCTCTGTACTTGGTATCCAGGGAAAGGGTTTAGGTGTCCAAGAGAAAACAAAGCAAATATTCCCTTCTGAGCTGCCTGTTAGACCATGTGGGACATAACCTCACCTCCTGAATGTCTCTAGAAATGGTTCAACCACAGTTCCTCAGGGCCATCCTAGTATCTCTGTCCTCCTTCCCAATCTCTGAGACTGCCTGTCCTCCCAGACCCAGAAGCATCCCACCCACCTAGAACTCCATACTCCGAGAGGGAGCTGTTGCACACAGTATAGGGGGCCTGGTCAGGCCACAGGTGATTCATAGGGACACACGTCCTCCGGTCAACTTCCTGGTCATGAAGAACATGGTGCCGGTGGCTGGGGAGAGACATCAGGATAGGGACAAGAGCAGGTAGACTGTCATCTACTCCAGACCTGGGCAGCAGAGGGTAGGCAGGTCCTGTTACTGTCCCCCAAAACCTATAAGGTCCTATGGAATGGTCACACCAAGGAGAATGGCACAGCAACGTGCTACTTCCCTGATGTGTAGTTCTGAGTTATGAAATCCATGGGCTCAATGAAGACAAGTGCCCAAGGGGCCAGGGCCCCAGCCTGCCTCAGCCTCACCTGAACGTGCCCCTCTCTACATCTTGGCCACTGAGCCGCACATGGATGCCCTCCTTTAGCAGTGAACCGAAGGCCATGTACTCTGCCAATGCCCAGTCCACTGTGCGCTTCTTGGTCATGTCTGCACGGCCACGCAGGATGCGAGAGAGGCCTGTGGGAAGGGGACCCGAGGAACACAGAAGTCGGGCCTCTGGCCTGGATGACCGAAGCACCAGAGCTCTGGCAGGAGTACTCAGTGAGAAAGCAAAGGCTGTAGGTGGCCCCTGGGGACTGTCCTGCCTAACCTGCAGCCAGACTAGAGCGGATCTGGGCTTCCTCACAGAGGAGGAAGCTGTAATGTACTGGGTCAGGGTTCTCTACAACAATCCCATGAGGACTGTCCCTGCTTTCCTGAAGAAGGGACTAAGGTTAATACCACACACCCAGTGAGAGCCATATAATGTGAATAGTCTCAACACTAAGCCTTGGTGCCATCAACGGGTGCCTTATGCACACTGAGAGAGAGTTGTGCTCCCAGAAGCTACGAAGAGAAGACACAGACATCCTACTATAGCCATGAGGCCCCAAACTTCTCAAACAGAAACTACAGTGGCCACAGCTAAGGGGCTAGTCAGAGATCATCGACTAGCCAGGCTCACAAGCCAGGAACTCATGGGGCTACCCTCTGGCATAGTCCTTAGCTAGGGGCATACCCATGTTCTCCTTGCCAGCAGAATTCTTCCTATATTCCAGGTTCTCCCCTAACCCTTCCACGGATGTCTCTGCTTTCCTGTTCGACATGGCCCAGGGATACACTAGAAACTGCCTTTGCCAGATTGAAGGTACCAATCTAAGACCACACCCTGACACTCAGTTGGAATGTTGTATCTACAAATGCCTAACTCCCCATATCCAGTGGGAGAGGAGCTAGTAACATGGGGAGGGACCCATATGAGGCTTTGAGAGCTGAACCGGGACACCAAAAGGCTAAGCAGGGACATTCCATAAGCTTTGTCCCACTTAGGTACCCCAACAAATCTCCCTGCAGGGCACAGTGTCAGCTTTGAAGGTAACTGTGCTGGAGCTTGCACAGCAGCCTTACCTGTGTGGATCTTAAAGTCCTCCAGGGGCACAGAGCTGGCCACATTGCCAATATGGGTCAGCATGTCCTCAGGGATGCCCGTGGTAGGACATGTCATGCTCTTGGGCTCTCCATCCACATTGAAGAAGCCTGAAGGGACAGAATCCATGCATATACTGGTGGTGGGACTTTGACACTCCTGGTCAGTTTTCTGTCCCATAAGAGAAAGGTTGCAATTTCTTAACCCCAGAGGCATCAACATATATCCTTGGGGCCTGCCACAGCTGAAGAGTCACAGCTGTAGCTCCTACACCTGCCTCAACACTCCCCTGGACCCTGGGATTATATCTGACCCAGCTTTGCCCCAGCAGAGGGACCCTCTGAGTAGATAGCCCCTGTACCTCCCACTCCATCCCTGGCAAACCATAGGTGGCCACACTTGCTCTAATGCCACCTGTCCACACTGACCTGCCTCCACCTGCAAAACAGCTCACAACTGCATATCAGGGATGAGCCTCAGCCTCTAGCTCTGCAGTGATGCTCTCCAGAGCCACCACAGTCCTGTTCCTCCGCCAATGCTCAAAGGAGTTTGGGGTGGGGGGGGTCACTGAGCTGCATGCTCCTCACTCACCAGGCCAGGGGGAGTCCAGCCAGTGCTTTATGTGCAGGATCTTTTTATCCTTGGACCTGCCATATGCCTCCTCACAGATCCGGTCATATTTGGCAATTTCTTCCTAGAATTGAGAGGAAGGTGTGGACAGACAGTGACATATTGGGCATCCAAGAGGGTTAGTCAGCTCAGACTCAAAATCCCTGGTCTCTATCACCAAGTTCTAGAACTCTCTCTCTTTATTCATAGGGATGCCAGCAACCTAGACCTCAGAGTTGAGAATGATCCTGGACAGATACTCCAAAGCCTGATGAGCCTGGAGTATGCTCAGTAAGGAGATCCAGGGGAACAGGGCAGACTCAGGCCTTGTTTTCAGAAGTTCTGTCCATAAAGGCAGAAGGACTAACATGTCCACAGATGATTCCAGGCATGATCCCAGTACAAGGGTCCTCTTACAGGACCTTATAGGACACCCCTACAGAGAGACCCATTCCTGCCTGAAACTTGGTTCCTCCCCATCACAGCACACACCTGGCTGTAACCATATCCTTAATTCCTCATGCCCTGTTAGAACCAGGAAATTTTGGAAACAAGGAACAGCGCTGCTCCTTTAATGTCTAGCACTGGGCTGATGTCAGCTGCAGCCATCCCATGTTCCCAGCCTGTCAATCTGAGGTTTGTCCCAATGCCCAGAAGTCCCGCCTCCCTACCTCAAACTCCTGTAGAGTGACCGTGCCCTCCGCAATGAGCTTGTCTGCATACTTCTTCAGCACGGGTACCTGTTTGTGGATCTGCTTGTACATGAGCGGCTGTGTGAACATGGGTTCATCCATCTCATTGTGGCCACGCCGGCGGTAACAGACCTGCAGGGGCAGCCAAAGGGTTCAGTCCCTACTACAGGCTATGTGCTCAGTACATATGCAGGCAGGGCACATCTGAAGCATCCCGAATGATCCACTCTCACCTGTCACTGAATGAATGCTCCATGGCAAGGCCTTTGTACAGATGGTTCTTGATGGCACTAACCCTCTGTCTAAAAGTCCTTCTAGCCCTAGTGAAGATGTGACTGAGGACCTAGCCAGCTTGGCACATCAGGGTGAGCCATCAGCAATTCTCTGGCCCCAGCACCCTCAAATATACCAAGCTTGTTCAGCAAAGCGGAAAGAGAACCCATCCCAGTTTTAGTACCCATACCTCCAAAGTACCTGGTTTATTTGGTACTAGCAATGATGGGCTACTAAGCCTGCTCTGGCACCAGCACCCTCAAGCACACCTGACTTTCTTGGCAAAGCAGGAATGGGGCAGGAATGGGCTACTCACCCCATCCTTAGCTCCGGCACCCCCAAATACACCCAGCATACCCAGCATAGCAGGGATAAGCCATCCACTCCTCCCTCAACACCCCCCACCCCCCCGTACCTTGGCCTTGGTCAGTACCCCAGACCCACCAAGTCCACAACAACATCTTTGTTGAAGGTATTCCTCCATTCAGCTGCCACACTGCATACATAGATCACGGCCTCTGGGTCATCTGCATTCACATGGAAGATGGGTGCATTGACCACCCGTGCCACGTCAGTAGGGTAAGGTGAGGAGCGAGCCATTCGGGGGTCTGTGGTAAAGCCAATCTGCAAGGACAAGAGAAGGCAGATGTGCCCCTCTGCATACTTTTTCTTTGTTTTGTTTTGGGAGACAGGGTTTCTCTGTATAGCCCTGCTGGCTGTCCTGAAACTCACTCAAGTCAAGGAGCTGGGGAGGGGGTCTATCGGGGTACCTAGGACATACAGGGGACATGAAGGGGTAACAGTAAATAAGTCCTTGACCACATATGACCACAGTTGCTGTGGGGCAGCAGTGGCGGCGGTGGCAGTGGTGGTGACAGTGGCAGCAGGGAAGCTGAGCCGTTTTTTCTACCAGTCCATTTGCGGCACTGGTACATAGGCCTTGGGGATCTGATACACCAGAGTGACTGTAGAGCTTCAGGCAAGATGTTTCAGTTCCCAACCTCAGTGTCCTCATCTATAAGGCAGTCTTATTAAAGTCCTGCCTCCCAGCGAAACTCAAGAAAGATTAAATGCTACCACAAATGAGGCAGAGAACACAGGGTTTCTAGCTGGTATTAACCTCAGCTGCCTGAAAAGAAAGGAACATGACTGCCAACCAAGACCAATGTGCTGAGCAGAGCCCAAGGTCACCTACAGCTCCTGTGCTGCACCCGTCCATCCTTGCCACTGCCTCTATGCCGCAAATATGAGTGTCTCCAGGTACCCATACAAAATTCTATAGTATTTTCATGGAATCTGTACCCAACACTGTATCTTTAATCATATATATAAAACAATGTAAATAATATGCAAATAGTCACTATACTATGCACTTACGAGAACAAGGGGGAAAAAAAGCCTGGTCATGTTTTATACAGGTTTAGTTTTGTTTTGTTTTTTCTCTTCCTGAATCCTTTTGTGTGTGTGATGTTTGGGTTCAAACCCAAGGCCTGCATATCTAGGCAAGCACTCTCCTTGGATTTTCTGAGACAGATCTCACTATATAGCTCAAACTGTCCATGAACTTTGTATGTAGCCTAGTGCTGAAATGACAGGCAGCTAGAACCATACCTGGCCATGCTTGGTCTGAATATTTTGGATCCACAGTCAATTGGGACTATGGATGTTTATCCTCCAGGTACAGTGGTTACAAAACTGTCTATAAATGTATATAGATATGTTTTTAATACATATATGTGTTTGTTATGTATCTACCAAATTTCTCAGAGCAGGACATGGGGCTGGGGGTTGGGTTCCCTGCCTGAGGTTGCACGCTGAGCTAGGGATCCTGATTGCTACCTGAGGTCACATGTGTTGGGAAGTTGCAGGACAGTGGAATGAACACCAGGGCTGGCTCACCTTTCCCACCAATCCACAGCCCATTCTAAAAATGGGCATGCCAATTGGCATGGAGCCCACATCCTTACCTGGTTGTTGACTACAACATGCACTGTGCCGTTGGTGGTGTAGGAAGGCAGGTCACTCAGATGGAAGGTCTCATAGACGACACCCTGGCCAGCGAAGGCGGCATCCCCATGGACCAAGATGGACATTACCTGCATGCCAGGGTATAAGCAAGCAGGATCCTGTACCCCAGCCTATGAAGCTCACCCTACCTCCTCTTATCAAGATCCCAGGATCCATGTCCTCAGTGCCCAGTCTTTCGGAGCTCTGCTCTCAAAGGCTGACCTTCAGATGCTACCCTAATGCTACAGACCCAGACAAGCTCACCTTCCGACCCTGGACATCCCCACGGTAGAACTGTTCTGCCTTAGTCTTCCCCTGTACCACAGGGTCCACAGCTTCCAGATGGGAAGGGTTGGCTACCAGCGACAGAGTGATGTTCCTGTTGGTAACACGGTTGATCCTCTCATGGTACATGCCCAGATGGTATTTGACATCACCAGAGCCCTGAGTGTAAAGGTGGGATAGAATGAACCTAACACCTCCCACAGGAAATGAATGGCAGTTCATGACAGTGCTGAGCCAACCTGCCAGGCTTCTTGAAACATACCAGAGTTCAATGGCTACCTTACTCTTCACATCAATGAAATCAAATGCATAGAAGTGTTGGAGGATATTTTAGGGTCTAGGAGTAGAGAAAGCTTACTTCCTAAACAATATATAAAGTCCCCATGCAGTAAGACAGCTAAGGAAGGACAAATCTGCCACAAGCAGTGGGGAGAAAATCCAAGCACACCAAATGGGGAAACAAGCTAGTAAGTCAACTGCAGAGAAACAGCTAATTGCCTTCAATATGTAAAGTCCCATGAAAAATGAACAAAAGCTATGGAGGGGACTTCACAGAACAAGAACCACAAGGGCTTCAAAATACTCAGTTGATTCATATTAAAAATATGATAAAAATAAATCATTTTGCACCTGTCCAATCGGCAAAGGAAAAATCAACAGAAAGGGGAACAGCTGTGGGAGGCACACGCTGTGGGTGGGTCCATGCAAGGCTCCATGGTGTCCGCTCCTTGCCCAGGTTACTGCACTTCTCAGGTGCCATGTGACAACTATAGTCACGTGCTCACTAAAAGGATGAGGATGTTCATTACAGCAGGCAGAACCCTGCAGCTGCAAGAAGCCAACAAACCAAGTTTGTTACCTGCTGACGTGGAACAAGGACAACTTCGTGACTGAACAGCCAGGTACCTAGAGTTCCCCGAGCTGTTCTCATGGCTCCTGGACAAAATTATACCTATCTGAGGAGAACACACCTCACCGCAAATGTAAGCAAGCACACACAGACACACCACAAGAATGAAGTCTCATGGAGGAAAATGTTCCCATTGCATCAAATTTTCTTTAAATGTTCAATTTCTTTATCAATTTGTATTTTTTCCTTTCAACAATAGTTACATTTTTTAAATCTAAAAAAAAAAAAACTCAAATTTTTAAAAGTGTTCCTTAGTCAAAAATTTTAATTTTCTTCCCCAGAATCCTGTCAATTCCTCACACGATTGTGGGGCAGGTGCCTTTGTACCTACTCTATGGAGGAACAAAGGCTTACAGGTTTGGAGGTGGCTGAGGGTCATGTCTAGAAGATCCTGGGCTAGAAGCCAGTGATGTGGGCTCTAGGCCTACTCTGGCACCATGTGTCAGGTGTTCTTGGGCGAGTTACTTTAACCAACCAAACACCTGTGCTGGTGACAAAGTTCCTCCCTCACTCCTGAAAGGAAAACAGATGCACATGTAGACATGGGACACACACACACACACACACACACACACACACACACACACGGCCAGAGAGAGACAAAGGGAACAAAAGAGGAAGGACAGTCAAAATGTACAGATCAGGAAGTTCAGGCAGAGACCTGAACGAGGCAGACGAGAGGAGAGGAGGCAGTAGGGCTGAGGGCTTGGCACGGCCAGGAGCCTCAGTAGCATGCAAGCCATAGGATGGGAGCAAGAAAACATGTCCTTGGCTGGCAAATGGATAAAGGAAGCCATTAGTCCACTCATGCCTCTCTGGAGCCAACAAGCCATTCCAGGCTGATAAAGGGACTGTGGGCACAAAGGCTCACAACAAAGTCTCAGGAGAGAAGCCTCTAGGGGGCCCCTGCACTTCTCTGAGCTTCCGTTTCTCTAGCTGGAAATAGTGAGTTTGACCTGGATTATCCAATTTAGCATCCAGTCCCCAAAGCCTTAGGGACGCTCTGCAAACATCCCAGTCCCCAAAGCCTTAGGGACCCTCTGCAAACATCCCAGTCCCTATGCCTCTTCTTCATGTCTATCCATCTCCACATCTGTTGGTCTGGAAACTCAAGTCCCAAACTCTCCAGCCCACCTCCCAGACACCAGGTCTTCCTGGGGTACCCATTCCCCAAACACTAGGCCCTTCTGGGGTACCCATCTCCCAGACACCAAGCCCTCCTGGGGTACCCATTCCCCAAACACTAGGCCCTCCCGGGGTACCCATCTCCCAGACACCAGGCCTGGGGTACCCTCCTCCCAGACACCAGACCCTTCTGGGGTGTCCACCTCCCAGACACCAGGCCCTCCTGGGGTGCCCACCTCCTAGACACCAGGCCCTCCTGGGGTGTCCACCTCCCAGACACCAGGCCCTCCTGGGGTGTCCACCTCCCAAACACCAAGCCCTCCTGGGGGTGCTCCAGAGACAGGGTATGTCACTCACCTCATCTGCTGCTTCCAACTTGGGATCAAACTGACAGAATATCTGCTCCAGGTCCTTGCGGATCACATTGGCCAACACATTCAACCTGCCCCTAAGATCAGAATGTCTGGGGCTATCACCTGACTCCTGGTCACCTTCCTACATTGGCCAAGTATAGCCACTCCCCCTACCTACCATGAGACCTATCAGATCTCTTCCTGCTGAAGCCCCAGTAAGGCTCAACCCTCCCATCCTGTCTCAATATATACCAGACACATGAGTAGTTCCCTGGCCAGCTTCCTTCAAGCAGACTTCCTGCACATCAGTGACTTAGAAAGCCTTCTGGGGGCGGGGGCAGGAAGCCACCAAGCTACCTAGCATGTCCCTACTCATTCCTCCCCCCAAAAAACTGACCCCACCCATTACCCTGGCACCTCCCACCATGAACTTAGTCTGCTAAAGTTTCAAGGCTGCTCACATGCCCCGCCCAAGCCCAGGTAGCAGCAGTTTTGAGCAGAAATGGGGCAGAATGGGGAACACTGAAGGGACAATGTGGCAGTCATGGACCAGGTTCTTCAGCCCAGCCTGAACTTCCTACTTGAGGCAGTTACCGCAGGGGTGGGCACCAGCCTGATAGGAATAAATAAGTGACTCTAAACTTACTCCAGAGCCCAATCCTGATTCTCGGCTCCACACAACTGCAGGGAAAGCCCCCTCCCATTGGTTCCCCCCCAACACACACATACACACACACACACACACACACACACACACACACACACACACACACACACAGGTCCTATGGGCTTGAGGAACCCAAGGAACATTCCTCAGCTGCTCTGGGCAAAGCCCTCCATAGCCCCCAAGTTTACCATTGACACTGTGGAGACCTGAACTGGCCCAGAATGGCCCCACTGTTCAGAGAGCCCTCCAGGCAAATGCCCACCCAGCACCATCTCACAGATGTTTGAGCCATCTCTATCTTCCAGTGTCATCTTCTCCTGCTGTTCTAACAGCCTGAGACATGAAGCCATGTGTTCCATGTAACCTTGGCGACTGGGCCAACTCTGCCTAACCTCCCACCAGACACTGAGCATTTCCAGGCCCCTCAAAGTACCATGTCAAACCTCAGATTCCTGGCCAGTCTGCCAAGACAGAAACTCTCCATACCATGTGTCTAGAGTCCCTAAGACAATGCAGCCCTGTGCTAGTCCAACCACAAACAACTTTCTAGATCACAACAGGCCTTTGGCCCACATATCACAGGGAATGAAACTTCCAAGTCTTCATCAGGGGAAACATGGAGTCAACTTACGGCTAGGATGCAGACCTACATCTCTCCAGACCTATGTCAAGGGGATGTCAACTCAGGGCCATCTACTCTCACATCCCTGACACATCCCTGACATCCCCTCCTCTGAAGGATTTTCTAGTAGAATGTATCCCAAGTCTGAGGTCCTGAAATTCCAGGAGAAAGCAGCAATATGACCAAAGAATCTGGTTGGGCACTGGCCACATGGTGGCTTTGGCCAAGTATTTGGGTCTTGTTGTGACAAACAGGCCAGACCAGGGGCCCTGGGAACCTATCAAGTTCCCTGCTTCTTGCTTCAAGTAGTACCAATGCGCCTCGCCCTGACTTCCACCCTCTCTCTCTCCTCAAGGTACAGGCCTGGACAGCAAGCATGGATGCCAAGGGCAAGTCAGTGGTCCTACCTGTGTGGCATCCCCAGAATGACGTTTTCAATCCCCATCTCGCTAGATTTGTCAATGATGGTCTTAAGAGCAGGAATCATGACCTCACAGCCTTCTAGGCCAAACCGCTTCTCTGAAGACCACTTCCTGGCCAGGAAGTCTTCAAACCTGTTTGGGGAGAGGGGAAGAGAAGCGAAAGGGCTGAAAGAGAGGGTTGGGATTCCTGGGTGCTTTTCACAAGCATTGGGATCAGAATGCCCAGGACACAAGGAAAAAGTCACCTCCCTCCAGTGTAGTCCAGAACCTACACTGGACATGGACACCATGTCACACTCACCCAACAAAAAACACATGGCAGGGTGACCTGGGACTCCATTCCCAGATGCCTTTTCATATCCAAATGACCTCAAGAGGCCATCTTTTACTACTCCTGCCCCACCACCCTCCTGCTACTGTGTAAGTTCCAAATACCTCTATCCTGCTAAAGTCTGAGTTGAGCCCAGGCACCACTGCTCAGAATTCACTTAGCACCCAGCAGCTGAGCCAGGTACACTTCCAGGCCCCTACAGCTCTGAAGGTCCCTTCTTCCAAATCATCAGTGGGTAGCATTCCACTGCCCCTGCCAGGAGTGCCATCACACTCACCCATGCCAGGGACAGTGCAGAGACAGCATTCTGTCATATCATTCCCACAGCCACACTCTTGTTACTTCTGCCCAAGCTCAGTGTGACCTCTGCTACAACATTTCTCTGGAGTCCCATCCCCACCCCACCCACCAGTGAGTGTGGTTCTGATGGTCAAACTAACTGAGCATATGGTCCTAATGCTCTGCCTAAGGGCTCCTACAGGCCTCCAGCAGTGGGACCAAGTAGACTGCTTTCTCTTCTAGGCCCTGCTAGTTTCCCAGCTAGGGTACCAAGCATGGTCCTCCAGCCATGCCGGCTGTCCATTGGGTAGTGCTGACCTCATGGAGCGCACCAGTCTGGCCAGCAGAGTCCTCTTCTCCTCGATGGAAAACTGCATCACACCAGGAGTCTCAAATTTCTGTCGGATCCATTGGCATTGCTCCACATCATTAATAAACATGAACTCCAGGCCAATGTGCTGGCAATAGGTGCTCTAAGGGACAGGTGGAAAGTCTGTGAGGAACCAGCAAGAGGAGTGATAGTCCCAGAGTCTGAGACTAAAAAAGGAAGCACCCTCACTCCCTCCCCACATGCTCAAGAGCTACAGAGCTAAGCAGACATGCCTTCCTGGGCTCACCTCCAGGCGACGAATGATCTCTCGCAGAGAGAGCGTGTTCTCGGAGCCCCCAATGAATGTCGTGGTAGGCAGCTGGAACTCTTTATCCAGATCAGCCTCCTGCAGGTCATAGAAGGCTGGAAAGGAGCCCAAGGCAGTAGAGGAGGAAACAATGAGGTTGGCTAGGGGATGGATAGCACCCCAGCAGCACCCACTGCACCCACCCTTTAGGCCTATCTGGAAGCCCTGACCATTCCTCAGTGGAAAGAGGAGGGAGGATCTGCACCCACCTGCTGCCATGAGAGTGGATTGCCCAGTGGTGAACCCTAGTGCAGGTGGGAACATGGCCCTCTTGGGAGCACTGCATAGTGGTAACAGGAACAGTCAGAAAGCCAAACAGACCCAGAGATATGCTGGGTTCAGGCTAGGTTTCAGGGCCCGAGGCTCCTCACTCAGCCACAAGCACCAGCTAGCATGGCACTGCCAGAGTGACAGGGAAGGTGACAACTCTTACCCAATTTATCAATGGTTGTGATCAAGTCTGAGGGTACAAAGGAGTCTAGGTCTGCATCCAGGATGCCCAGAGGATCCAGCTGGGCCACATGGTGGCCTCGGATCTGGGAAAAAGGAAAATAACAAGGCTGGACAGATCTTTGTTCCAAGTGAGGCTCAGAACCCCACCCACCTCCAGCTTCAGACTGTCAAGTTGTCACACATCCTACTGTGCTGCCTGTCACCAGTGACAGATGGCTGGAGCTCCAGTTCAAAAGTACAACACAGGGCTGGCAAAAATAAATAAAAACCTATACATGAACTTAGACACTACACACCATTAGGAAGTGTGAACTTCCAAAGTGTCTGGGATATGAACAAGGAAAACGCACATATGAGTGAGAAAAATTCTCATCTGCTATTGTGAAACCACATCCATGATCTCCCAGACATGCACTTGTGCATGTCTACACACAATAATTAAAGAAAAATTTAAAAGATTGATTAGAGTTTTAAAAATGAATACATATAGGCCTTAGAAGAAATCATAAACTAAAAAGAATTATGAAGCAAGAAAAATTATTATACATAGAGATGGGGACAATATAGGAATTGTAAATACTGGATTGAAAGAATAAGATTCCAAAGAACCAGGCTTTTAAGAATATCTTGTTGGTGTACACCTTTAGTCCCAGCACGCAGAGGCAGAGGCAGAGAGGCAGAGAGGCAGAGAGGCAGAGAGGCAGAGAGAGGAGGCAGAGAGAGGCAGAGAGAGGCAGGAGAGGCAGAGAGAGGCAGAGAGAGGCAGGGAGAGGCAGGGAGAGAGGCAGAGAGAGGCAGAGAGGAGAGGCAGAGAGAGGCAGAGAGAGGCAGAGAGGCAGAGAGGCAGAGGCAGAGACAGATGGATCTCTGTGAGTTCAAGGCCAGCCTGGTCTACAGAATGAGTGCCAGGACAGCCAGGACTACACAGAGAAACTCTGACTTGAAAAACCATGGGAAAAAAAAGAATATCTTGTTTTAAAGATTTGACCTTGAAAACTTACAAATATTTTAAGTATAAAACTATATTAAGATTTAAACATGAATAGTAAGATGTAACAAATAGTAATATAGCCATAGTAGCTCAGCTATGCAGAGAAGAACGATTCCATTTGGCCAATCGAATATTCCCTAAAGACAAACAGAACTACAAGGGAAAAATCATAAACTCTCCTATTGCCAATCAGTAGCGACAGTAGGAAATTGTTATTCTAAGACTGTTGCATGTGGGCTATGAAAACATCACATAAGCCACTTCACTGGCATCTCTGAGAACATCTATTGTTGGCATCTTTGAAAGGAGATGGTGCTATAAGATGGATGAGGTCAAACCCTTAGTCCTACATTTGAAGTATACAGCCACATCAGAATAAATCCATAATGCATGTTAGCATGTTATCTTTCTGAAAAGCACACACTTTCAGCTCTGATCACTACAACTGACAAGACTGAACATTCTCAGAACTCCTTGGAAGCATGGATGGTTCTGGAAGGGGGAAAATATACAACTAGTCTAGTTATTTTTCTGTTGTTGTAATAAAACACTGACCAAAATCAATTTGGGGAGAAAAGGGTTATTTAGCTTACAGGTTAACAGTCCATGATGGTGAGAAGCCAACTAGGAATTCAAGGCAGAAACTAGGAGTCAGGAACTGAAGCAGAGACCAAGTGGGAGGATCAAAGGATAGGAGGATAACTGCTAACTGGCTTGCTCAGCTACCTTTCTTATACAACCCAGGCCCACTGCCTAGCAGAGGCACTGCCCAGTGTAGGCTGGGCCTCTTACATCAATTATCAATTAAGAAAATGCTCTGCAGACATGTCCACATGTCCACAAGATCAAGGCAACTCCTCAATTGAGAAATTCCCAGGTGTGTCAAGTTGACAACTGAAGCTAACTATGACAAGATTGACTTGAAGAATCTTATTAGATTGGAGAGCAAAGGGGTGCTGACTACTACCAGGGCTGTGAATAAAGACACACTGTAGAGGGGGGAAGAAAGAGAAGAGGAAGAGAGAGAAGAAAAGGGAGAGAGAGAGAGAGAGAGAGAGAGAGAGAGAGAAATTTACAACAGACTGAAATTCATCTATTTTGTTTAAGAGTGTTCATTCATGAGAAACTACAAAAAGAAGAAAGTTGGAGGCCCATATGACTCAGCTGTTAAGAGCACTGGCTGCTCTTCCAGAGGACCCAGGTTCAATTCCCAGAACTCATACAGCAGCTCACAACTGTCACTCCTGTTCCAGAGTATCCAACACCCTTATACAGACATACATGCAGGCAAAATACCAATTCACATAAAATAAAAACAAAAAGAAGAAAGTTGGGCAGGGTGGTGTATACCTGTAATTTTAACAATCGCTGAGGCAGAATATCATGAATTCGAAGCCAGCCAGCCTAGTCTATAGAGAGAGACTAGGAGGAGAAGGGGGAGGAGGATGACGACAGCCTTCAATGGTGACTTATGAAGGATGCACAGAACATCATATTTTTGAATATCAGTCAAAAGGAAAACTAAAGTACCTCCCCGAGCCTGCCTTTGCTGTACAATGTGCATCTCAATGTACAGTGGACAAAGGTAGCTGTCCCATGACAAGAACCTCAGGTAGAAGGAAAGCTGGACAGATAATAGCTACCACCCTTGGCTGCTCACTGCCCATCTCATCCCCACTAAGAAGCTGATGTGGGGAAATCAAGTCCACATTGGGTGAAGCCTCTAGAGCACCATGCTCACTGACATGAACAAAGGGATCAGTGAAATGACACTATGGGGATGACTCAGAAAACCTCTACAGGAACACCACCATGGTTCATTTCACAAAAATTGGCAAGAAATACAAAAAAAAACAAACAAAAAAAAAAAAAAACAAAAAACAGAGTCGGAGAGCTGCAGAGTGCAGGAGACACATCAGCCATTGCAACATGCGGCTTTGTTGTGATCTTGCCTGAATCCAGAGGATCCTGTGTCTGGTACAGGCAAAAACAAAACAAAAACAAAACAAAACAAACAAAAAAAACCACAAAAAATAAAAATCAAGCTATATATGGTGATACATGGCTATAATCTCAGCACTTGGGAGATGGGGGCAAGAAGATCAGGAGTTCAAGGTCAGCCTTAGCTACATAAATAGTTTAAAGCCAGACATCTGGGCTACATGACAGTATGGACTGAAGAGATGGCTCAGTGGGTAAGAGCACTTACTCTGCAAGCATGAGGACTAGGTTTCAAATCTCCAGCACCCTCGTAAACAACAGGGCCTGGTTTTCTGTGCCTATAACCTCAGTTAAAGCTAATGGAATCAGATGGATCCCCAGAGCTTGCTGGCTAATGAACCTAGCAAAACCAGTGAACTTCTGGCTTAACAAGAGACACTGTCTCAAGGCAATAAGGCAGAGATGAAGAGGAAGACACCAGACATCCTACTCTAGCCTCTACATGCACACACACCTACATACCCACACCCCCACACCCCCCCACACACACACGTGTGCACACGAAAAAGGACTAAGAACCATACTGGGATAAAGCCACATAAAGGCCCTCAAGCGACATCCTGGGTGTTAATCTCCATGCAATATGGGTCTAATTTGACTTTGCTTGTTCTTGTCAAAATCAATCATGAAGTCACTTTCTGCATCTTTCACCCAGTCAACAGAACACAATGAAAGACCCCTTACTGGAAATACTTGGGACCAGGAGAATTTGGCATTTCACTCTCTTCTTGATTTAGGGATATTTACAGACATAATGAAATATGTTGGAGACAGGACCCAAGTCTAAACATGAAATTCATTTATGGTTTCACAAACACCTTACATGCAGAGCTGAAATGTGGTTTTGTTCAATGGTCTTAGGATGCCTGGGTTTTGACTACAATCTATCACATAAGATTAGGTGTGGAATTTTCCACTGATGATGTCACATTGATCCCCCCCCCTGAAAAAAACTCAGATTTTGGAGTTCTTTGGATTTTTTGGGGGGGGGAATGCTCTACTGGAACCACAACAGTTACTGTGCTGCCAGAAGTCCACTGCCCATGGGCCCTCAGGCCAGTGAGAACCCCTGACACCCTGAGGCACTGGGTGCCCAGGAAACTCGCTTATACCTCCCACTCCCACACAGAGGGTGCCTAGTGGAAGACAGCACATTGTTTCCATTTACTAATGCCCATGTAGCAGCTCGCAGCTCCCTTCTACCAAGTCTCTTCAAGCCCCAGGACACTTAGCAGTACCCTCTGCTTCCCTTGTGAAATGCCTTCTGCCACCAGTTCCCACAGATAGCCTCAATGATTGCACCTGTCATGGATCAACACCAGTGCAGCCCTCCAATTAGTCCTGTTCTGTCAAGAACATGGACCGTCACCAAGACACACTGCCAAAGACTAGGCCCAGACTAGGGACCCAGTGTGAGAGAGTTCAAGCCTCCAGAATGAGCAGCTGGTAGGGGAGCCGTGTTTGGTAAATTATTAATTCATCCCATCTTCACTAATGAAGTTCCTGCTGCAAACAGCCCGTTTCCTGGAATGCCCAGACTAGAGAAGTGTCAGAGTGTTCCACAGTCACTTAACAGTAAATACAATTGATCACCTACTATGTGTTCCTCTAGGCATGTCGGACATTGTATGTGCAAGATGGACAACAGCATGGGGAAACAGACAAGCCAGCAAATACTCAAAAGCTACCAGGGAGGTGCTTTGTGCTTTAAACAACATAGGACAAAGACTGGTTCTCAATGAAAGTAACACTAAAGCCCAGACCCCTGCTTCTCTCACCAACTGTACCTTCCCCCCTCATCATCTTTGCCCATGCCTTGATCGATCTCACCTGGTAGGCACGAATGAGGGACTGTACTGCCAGGTGGTCCTCCACCAGCTTGCTAGTCTTGGTGCAACTTGAGACTGTTGGCCTGATCTCTTGGATGACAGCTGGGGGCTGTGGATGAGCAGGACCCATAGAGGCCTCCTTACTTGCTTTCCGGAAGAAGCTGTCCCAGGACTGGGTAGGGAGAATGAAAGAGCCCAGCCAGGTCAGGACATGAAGATTTAGGATCCTCAAAGCTTTCAGTGTTCTTGGGTTCCATGGTGCCCAGGGTCCTTCCAGAACCTCTATTCAGGGACCCTCTCTACTAGCCTAGGCCTCTTACTCTTTGCCCAGCTCTCCTCAGGGTATAGGTTCAGCTATGACAGGGCCTTCTGGCCTGAGGGAAATCTGTTTTTGCACACTGGGTTACAGATCTTAGGAGATGGCAGAATAGCTGGCAGAGATCACAAGATCTATGTATAGGTTTTTGTTTTGTTTTGTTTGAGACAATAATCCAATTAGTGGTAATTTATCCACAAATGTACTCATACAAGTGTGTCCAGATGATCCCTTCAGGGTTGTTTATAAAAATGGTGATGACTGTTAATAAGCAACTGGCTTCATAAATGAGTGCAGATGCTGTAGAGTGAAGCAGTCTGCTGTGAAAAGGTGTGTTTGTTAGGCTGGATAGAGGGTACTTACTACCAACACACACCTCAGAGAGGACAAGGCCAAAGAGGCTGTGCCACCCTGCTGCTTCACAGAGAAAGCAAGATCAGGTGTGCATACACACAGATACTTCTGGCTTCTAGGAGAGTAAGTAACAGTGCTGGCCTGGGGAGGGCTGCTGGCTGGGCTCCTGGGAGAAGCCCATCTTGAATGTGTGAGGGCTCAGGTCCCATTCTCAGCACAGAAAAAAAACTGGTTCCCTCTGCTCAGTTCCATGTAGTGCCAGTGGAATCCTCATGGAAAGCAATTTGACACGACATACCAAAATTGCACACATATAAACTCCTGGATGGAAGAAAAATCTTCCTACAGCTAGCTGTGTGCACACATACAAGTACACTCTGCAGCCCCGTTCTCGGCAATCAAGACAAGAAGTCCATTACTGGTAACAAGGAGGCATCCATGTGACAGAAAACTACGTAGGCAGAAATAAACAAGCAATGGGGCTCTTCGTGTACTGACATGAAAAGAGCTGAAAGACAGCCAAATGTAAGCCAAAGAACAAAACAGGATTGTTACCTGTCACTTTGGTGGGAATGAGGGGCAATTCCATTATGTTTGCAAAAATTTTACATAAAAGAAATCTCAGAAAGAGAAGAAACTAAGAGTATCATGTGGTGGGCTGGGAGGGACCTCTTGATTTTTCATACTTCTTGAGTCTGGATCCTATGACTATTTACTGTCTCCCATTTCACTTTTAGTTATCAAGGGGTATTAGTTATCAAATGACACATCTATAGGATTTTTTTTTTGTTTTTTTGTTTTTTTGTTTGTTTTTTGTTTTTCGAGACAGGATTTCTCTGTGTAGCTTTTCTGTAGACCAGGCTTGTCTTGAACTCACAGAGATCTGCCTGCCTCTGCTCTTGAGTGCTGGGACTAAAGGCATGCACCACCACTGCCTGGCCTGGCATTTATTTTCTTAATTTCATTGCAGGAGTCATCTGCAAAGAGCTCAGGGAGGGCAGGTCTCTGGAATTCTGGGCAAGGCATCTTCCTGGTCCATCAAGTGGGACTACCTCCCACCAGAGTTTCATCCAGCAATAAAACAAGAAGCCTCTTCCTTCTCCCACACACAAATGCACAGGGACTGAGCTCATGGCTGCTTCCAGCAATCCCTCTTCCCTCCATCCACCCCAGCAGCTTCCCTCCCATGAAATGCAGAAGGCCAATGCCAACCTTGTGAACACTCTGTGGGTTTTCCAACCAGGCAAAGTACATCTCCTCCACGTAACTGGAGCTGACTCCATTTCTGCTGCTTGGGATGGTGGTGGGTGGCCCAGAGGACATCCTGTGCCCATCCAACACTGGGATATCCCGTGTGGCCAGGAACCTTATGGCCTGTGGTCCCAACCTGAATGGCAGCAGCCTCAGCTGATTCATTCTGAACATGGGCAATGAAGAAGAGGCATAAATCATAGGACACAGTCAAGAGGAAGCTCGGATAGATGCGAATTCACTCCTAGCATCTATGGTCCCAATACTTGGTGGCCCCAGACTAAGCCAAGGTGAGACACCGGTGACAAATTCTCTTCCAGTTTCATTTCCTAGAGGGAGGTCTCAGCTCAGCAATATTCTCCAAAGGACTCTGATCCCCAGTGCTCCTGGGCCCTTCCCTCCAGCCTAGGCTTCCTCTCTGTTGGCCCTAGGATCCTGCTATCTCTATATACAGCCCTGCTTCGGAGGGCACCTAGCTCAGCCCCTGGAGCCCACTCACGAGATCATAGGACATGTGTGGGCAGTAGGATAACCTACCACCTTGGAGGTGGGTCAGGGTTCTCCAGGCACTGGGCTGGCTGTGAATGATCAAAGGCAGGAAGAGGGCACTGGGGAGCAAAGGCTCAGAGAGATGAGAGGGGACAAGACACAACCTCACCGGAGTCGCTAATCACTGGTCAGAAGTGACCAGTGACTCCCCATGAGCACAATACTGGATCAGGGCATCCTTCTTCCCAGGCAAATCCAAAAGGTCAGGAACCCAGGGCTCAACAGTAGCCCCACTTCACAGATGTGAGGATTGAGGCTGCACGTAGTGGAGGCAGAACCAGAGGCAGCCAAGTGACAGATCCCTGCCCCAGCTACCGTCTCTGGCTCCTGAACACTTCCTGGAACTCACGCTCTGGGCAAACACCACTCAAGGCAGCTGTCAGCCCCAGGGCACTTACATGCTGGAGGGCACCCAGGTCATGGGAAGACAACACTGGCTTCCCTTCACTTGTCAAATTACCTGCCCTTTCCCAGGAAAGAGGCCTGAATGATGGGCAGGCAAGCTTTCAATGTGAGACTTCCTCAGCCACCTCTCCCCAGGAGGACAGGAGTTTTAAAGGTCCCTCCACTCCTAGAGAACCTCCAGGCTCCCCCACTCAGACCCACTGAGGCCCTTTCTGGTCCAGGGCCTTGTCATCACATGTAAAGTGGGACCTCTGTTCTCCTGCCTCACCCCATGGCTATGAGCAGCAGCCCCTCTCCTGCCCAGCCCAGCCACAGCCTAGACACTGAGCAGATCCTAATGCTCTTCTGTCTGGGGAGGCCAAGTGTTGAAGCAGAGTACAACCCTAGAACCACTCATCAGGGTCCGGGAGCCCAAGGCCCCTTAAACAGTCCAATAACCCAGAACATGTATAGTCTAGGGCAGTGGTTCTCAACCTTCCTAAGTCTGTCACCCTTTAATACAGTTCCTCATGTTGTGGTGCCCCCCCCACCATAAAATTATTTTTGGTGCTACTTTACAGCTGTAATTTTGCTGGTTATGAATCATAATATAAATATCAGATATCTGATACACAACCCCTGTAAAAAGGGCTGTTTGACTCTCAAAGGAGTTGCGACCCACAGCTTGAGAACCACTGTTCTGGGTTGTAGCTGACTCCCTGGTCCTGCTTAGAACAAACCATGAATCAATGTTCCTAGGTGTGTTCAGCCAACTGTTCACCAACTGTACCCCTCCACCCTACCCCCGCCACCAGCTAAACCAAATCAGGCTACCACTGGCTGGAGTTTCTGCAAGGGATCAAGTCCACCAAAGGACAGGTATGGCTCTCCTGGGCTGCCTTCCCTCACCCTTGCAAACTCACTTGAGCTGGAGGCACAGGGGAGTTCCTCAGTCAAGGAAGAAGGGTGGTCTCCTGGGATGACCCGCAGAAAGTCTGAATAGAGGAAAATTGGTAACTAGAAAATACATTCTACTGCAGGAGGGAGGGGCTTAGCAAGACTCTGAACCTCAGGTGCCCCAAGATCCCCTCCCACACATTTCAACCCCTGAGCTAGAGTAGCCAGGCCCCACAGTGAGACCCCATGGGGCTGGCTCCTGGCCCCCAGAGAGCAGCTTTCCAAAGGTTAAGCATGGGCCCTAGAGTCATCAGACAGCTGGGGTCACAACGTAGAGACATCACAAGAACCCAAACAACCATGGGGAGTCAGCATCCAAATTTCACACAGGAAGACAAATAGACTGTAATAAGAATAAGGCATGCAGTCACACAAGGCTGGAGTCACAGTGCTTACTCTCCTGAGAGGGGCAGAGGCCGGGGAGTCTAAGCTAGAGAGTGACCAGCTGTCTGTTCCAGAGCCCATGTCCTTCTCATGGCAGCATCAAGATATCTTAGGGGCAATGCCCCAGTTGCTCCTTCTGCCAGCTTCACCCCCACAGGGGGATGGGACAATTCAGGCCAGATAGGGACAATGCCTGGCTGTATCCAGCCTGGCCCAGTGTAGGAACACTGTGTTTTACAAACACAGAACTGGGCAGCCAGACACTGCTATGGCCTTCACCCAACCTGGTAGGAGATGCCAGCCGTTCCTACCCCCATACCAGCTGGGCTTGAGGACCCGGGAGCTCTGCTGGGCTCTAAATCTACAACCAGGGTCCTAGTTAGCCCTGCTATGTCCTGCCCATACAGGACAAGTTGGCAGCAAGGAACCCAAAAAAGTGATCCGTGCAAGCATCTAATGGGCAGATGTTGGAGGTATCCTCACTGGAACAATGTCACCCAGTTGTCCCAGCCCAATCCAAGAATCAATGCAGGCAACCTGCCTCCAAGTCTCCTTCAATTGTGCTCAGGTGGGGGCTGCTCCATAATGGATCCCTTGGGGAATCAGTTAGCAGAGGTCAGAGTAGGGAAGCCCCACCTCCCAAGACCTCAAACAGGGTACAAAGCACTGGAAATTGGACTCACTGCCTGACTGGCAAATGCAGGACTCCAAGGAGCGAAGCAGGAGGGTGGGTTGGGGTGTGGGTATAGCTTATTTTCTTGGTGGGGAGGAAGAAAGGGTCACACTTAAGTCCAGAACTGGGAAAAGATACAAAGACGGGTAAGGGCTGTCTGAAGGTTACAGGAGGGTGTAAGGAGAGGAGCTACACAGACTGGCCGGGGATTGGACCCTGTAGGGCTAGGGGTTTCAGAGCTGGGTCTTTGCGATGCATGGCCCTTGGAATCAGCTAAGGCCTCTTAGGGCCATAGGGCTGCTCATAATGAGGGTGGGAGAAGCACCTCCCACGACGGCTGAGACTTCAGACTATTTGAGCCAGTTTCCTCAAGTGAGAGCAGAGACAGAAGTTTTAAAAAAAAAAAAAAAAAAAAAAAAAAAACATATATAGGGCCTGTCGCCACGAAGTCCTGTGACTTCGAAGCTGCCCGCGTGTCTTGTGCAACCCTGGAACCTCCTCAACCTCGGTGCTGCTCTGGGCAGCCCCCTCTCCCTGGAAGGGTATCAGGCAGGCTCCTCCCCAGACCAAGGAATGTGGAGAATGGGAGGGGGTCTGCAGCCTTCCGGCTGGTGACCCAACACAGAGGCCGGAAGCCCCACTGTTGGCGGTCACTCCTTCCCACGAAATCTGCACTCGCCTGCTGAAACGCGCAAAGGGCCAGGGGTCCTAAGGAACTCCGCACACAGTCAGGAACAAAGACAAGGTCACGTCCCCCCACCCAACCCTGGCCCCAAGGGCCCGGCTTAGAGCAGCGGAC